CATTGGGATGGGGATTGGTGATTGGGGAATTTTCGAAATGAGTTGCTGTCAACAGAATGGGACTGCTTTGTTCTTTCTCGTTATGAAGATGGTCGGTCTGTGGCTGGCACTCCCCTGACTTAATATTTTAATTTCTGTTATGGGCCCGAGCTCGAGTTTCAAAAACCAATAATGCGGCTGCCATCAGCAACACAACAACGACGCGGACGACGCGGACGGCGACTGACGACAGCAACATGGCGCACAACAAGCAATAAAAATGGCATAAAATTCAAAATGAAAGCTAAATGCTGCTGGGTCATATAAACGTGTACATATACGTATATAACCCCCAGTTACACCCCCTCTATAGCCACTCTTGTAGCGCTGTGAGCTGCATAAAAATAAGTAATATCGTAAAAATTACAGGAAATAAAAATCGCAACGTAAATACGTGTAAGTGCGAGAGTCGGCCAACTTTCCCGACTTGCTGAAATTGGCAGTAAAATTATGACCAAAAGAAGGAGAAAGACACGCAGAAAGAGACTGAGAGAGTGAGAGAGTGAGAGAGTGCGAGGAAAAACAGTAACAATATTTGGGGTGGGACTGGGAGTTCAAGTTGGCCATTACATGGCCATATTCTGGGCAAATGTTTTGGAAAATAAATAATTCCCAGTTGCCATAAATGTGTGGACTGTGAGGACTCTCCTTTTCGGGGGTTGTTCCGCGCCAATAAAAACGAATGAGATAAGTTTCTGCAAAAATGATTTCAAACTTGAGCGGAATCAGCAAACGAAGTCAGGCAGGAAATTAAGCCAACAAAATATGTATATGAAAGCATCTACTAATCTTTCCAGTCCCAGCGTTAATCCTGCAATTAGGCAGTCGGCTTACAATTATACTTTTACCCGTGTCTCGGCCCCATTCAACTCAATTATAATAATCAAGCTGCTGGCCATCCTGCTGCTGCTGCTGTTGCTGCTGCTGCAAAGTGTGCAACATTAATTGGCCACTGGACAAACAATCGCCTCCGAATCGGTTATTTCAAGGGATTCCAGAGGTAGGGGAAATGGAAATCATAGCCATAACTCTGCATGTTGTGCATTAATATTTCCTCTGCAACAGTAGAAACATCAGCTGCAACAGCAACACCAGAGGCAGCAGGGCCAGCAGACGCAGTTGCCGCAACTTCAGTTGCAACTTTAGATACCCTTCCGAATCGATTATTTCCATGAATTTTATATCGGAGAATAAACTAGAATACAGTATATATCGTTTAATGCTACTCCCTTTGGGTAGCGTGGCATCTGATCAGATCCAGATACCCCAGCAAAGGGTATACGAACATCAGCAATGGCAATTACCGTCCATGTGTGTGTGAGGCACCATAATCATTTCAAACGGCAAATTATGACAGCGAGGAGGGGCCCATAACAACAATTGCAACTGCCATAGCAGCAACAGCAACAACTGAAACATCAGCAGGCACTGCCGCAGCAACAACAGCAACACCAACAGCCACACGAACAATTGCAACTGCAACATAAGCGTACGGCAGGCAAATGAAATGAGCTTTTAATCAATTTCCGGTATTAAAGCCTAGCCAACCCAACCAACCCAACCAACCATTCAAGTATACAAGTATCCGCCCGACCAACCATACAGCCATACAACCATCCAATCATCCCACAGTGTTTGGTTTTCCTCTGGCCGCTCGTTGTGAGCCATTGTTGCTGCAGCACTGCCTGTTGTTGTTGTTGTTGTTGCATTTAATTAACAAACAATTTATATTCATAAACCTCAATCGGTCACATGCAAATGCACATACGATTGCCCGCTGGGGAGGGTGCGCGGAAAAGCAGAGCTCGACAACAATAATAAAAATTGAATGAGATATAATTTCATTCGAGTGTAAGTTAGAGAATAGAGATACTCTAACATCGGAATGGGCAAAGCTGCACTTGAGTGGGAAGAAAATCGAAATATTCCATACTGGGAACTGCGGCTGTTGTTAATATGAAATTTAGTATTTTATTTAATGGGTTTCGCTGCCTACATCATGGCTGTTTTTCCATTACGTGACTGAAATATTTTATGAACCTTTGGTCAACTACTTTTATGACCTCTCTGAAAGTGTTAGCTTTATTTTCGCAGCTATAAATCGACATTTTACCATAAAACAACAAGCGAAAAAAGTTCAAGTTAAGTTCAAAGAGTAATTAAATTTGGGAATATTATTTCAAGAAGTTTGTGGGAGCTCTTCTTCCATATTAGTTTGAAAGCTATAAAAGGCCAGCTATTAAATGAAATTTAAAACTATTAAAAAATACAATAAATGGTAAGTTAGTTTAGTTTCTGAAAAACTAGAATGGATGAATTTACGTGTAAGTATAAGAAGTTCTGCCCTAGGTACTTCTAGGTGTGATACCTACCTGCAAAAAATAAAACGATTTCTACTCAGTTGGCAGTTCGAAGGATTCTTTATCAAGGAGTTCATCTATCTCATTTATCATTCCCATTTTCAGTGTCGTATTGTGTAACTAAGTTTAGTTACCTCTAGGCTAGTATGCTAAAAGTATACTTCGCAATGTGAATGTAATAAATATTGCAAGTGCGTGGCAAGCCAATAAAAATCATGTGCACACAGATGCGCTTATATAAATAAATTTATTACAAATATGCAGATATATACAAGCATACTACTGTGTGTATATATTGTGGTGTGCTTTGTGTAACAGAAACGTGGCACCGGAAAAGAGCAGTTGCAACAGCGCGAGTGTGCCCCCGTGTACCAATGCAGCAACAATATGAAAGCTGATTGGGGGGCGCCCCGTTTCGAGATTTGTGGCTGCCACGTGTTGCCTGCACACTCACACACTCCGACAGAGGGAGCGAAGGGGTAGACACATGTTCATTTATATTGCAACAACGGCAGCAGCGCATTCTGCTTTCGACGGCCACAATTGGACAGGGCCCGAACGGATTTCGAGGCGGTGTCCAGGGATGATGGTGGCCAAAGCCCTGACACCCAATTAACCCCGGCGTACGAGTAGACAAAGCCCACTACACAGAGCGAATACAGGGACTTCTGGGGAGGTGTGGTTGGCTGTGGTGCTCTACTACCAGCTTAGCAAATCATTAATTAAACCTGGCCAAAAACAGAAACCAGACACAAAAGCACGAAAAATTATAATAATGAACAACGCATGGGAAATAAACGCAAAAAGCTTTGCGGACAGGCAGCCCCGTCCACCTTGCTGTCCCCTCTGCGGCTCTGCAACCCCCCCAAACTAATTAGCATGTTGAAATGTGTTTAGTGGCTGTTGTTGTTGCTGCTGCTGCTTGTGGCAGCCACCACTCAGAGGTCAGAGCGAGGCCCAAGGGAAACGAGCATTAAGCATGTGGAAATGAAAATGGGAGTGGGGCAGTGGCAGAGGCAGAGAAAACACATAAGTTGCAGCCGAAAGGGCAAGCAAGTCTGAGAGGTAGAAATACTCGTCTGTTAAGGGGCATGGAATGTCCCGGGGAGTACATGGATGAGGATCCAGGAGGATCCCGTATGCCAAGTGTTCAAATAAGTATCTGTGAAACATGGGAAATCCAACGTGGCTATTTGTGGGAAATAAAACATTCAGATATAAGCACAAGCCCATGTGCCAAGGGAATGTAATAAAGATTAAATCGAAAACTAGCACTACAAATTTTTTCTACAATTTAAAGGATTTGTGGCTAAAATACCTCAGGCTCTAATTGTTTCAGGCTTAACTTGTATCGCCCAGAAATGTTAAGTACTTTGTGGCTTTAATCGATCAATGCCAAGTAAAAATAATACCCATTCGAGTACACGCTTTTGTAAGTCTTCATCTCACACAGAGTTCTGCCTTATTATATTTATGATGTTATTTCTGCAGACTTTCTGCGACGCTTCTACGCGTATGTATGGGGTAGGGGTAACGTTAATGATGATTATGTACAGTCGCTAAAATAAAGTACTTACAGAGTGGAAAGCACATAGCTTTGTATGGATACAAATTGCAGAGAACAGAGAGCACAAATATAAATATGGGTACTTATATATCATAGTCTGTGGGCAGATTCAGTCTAACCGCAAACTCATTATGGCCCATTCTCTGCTTGGCTTGGCTTGGCCCCCCATTCTCCCTCAACTCTCCCCCTCTGTGGGGCCCATTCTCCTTCCACTTTTGCTTACTCTTGCTCTGTGGCAGAGCTTTAATGACGGGCGAATATTTTGTATAATATAGACATTTTCTATGGCCCCGACATGGCCAGGCGCTGAAGAGGAGACAAAACCGGCAGTAAGTAAGCAGTGGCGGCAACAGCGGCCGGCAACAGCGGCAGTAAGAGTAAGCCAGCAGCTGAAAAGCGACCTGGCAGAAACCACAAAAACTTGCCTTTTGCTTATTTTGTGTCTGGCATTGTCATTGTGGTTGTTTCTGCTGTTGCTGTTGCTGCTGTTGCTGCTGTCATGGCTGTTGTTGCTGGCCAAAACGTGCAATTAAATGCTGTATAGAAGCTGCCGCAGCCATAAGCTATCGCCGCTGCCTGCAGCAATGGCCACAACTAAGGCTATATGGTCGAAGCCAACTTATTGGCAGTTGCTTGCCAAATGCAATGAATGAAAATTGCACAAAAACAGAAACACCAGAAAGAAACAACAACGACAACAAAAAGAAATAAGGAAAAAGAGAAAGACACAAAGAAGAACACAATTACCGCAGAGAGGCATTCACCAGGCATATTATTGATTGGCAACCGCAGAGATACACTCAACCAGAGACCAGAGACCAGAAGATATAGATGCAGATACAGATGCAGATGCAGGTATAGATACAGATACAAATGCAGTTACTGATTCACATAGTGACTAAGGCTCTCTCACTAATGATGATGATGATGATGATGATGGTGGCTACTGGCTGTGGCTGTGCCTGTGTGGCTCTCAGTGAACGTTTTTGGCTGCCATTGACATTGAAATCTGGCAATTTGCAATCATTGCAATTAGTTTTTATTCCCTGTCGGACCTCAGCGCGTCGCGATCCGCTTGGCCAGAAATTTTCTCATACAAATTATTGCCCAGGAGGAATTGAGGAGAGGAATTTGTGCGCGAAATTATTGGGTAATTTATAAACAGAAATGACAAAAACGAGCAATGCGAACGGAACGCAACGCAACGCTTTTCAAGGCTTGCATAACGAGAGGTTTGTTCGCTTGAGAAATGTTAATTATTTTTCGCGCATTTCCAATTTCTCATCGTGCGGGACGGGACCCTGAAAACGTGAATTGCAATTGCAAATTGCAAATTGCTAATTGCCAGCCGATTATTTATACCCGTGCCTTTGCAAAGTTCAAATGTGCGTTTGGTCGGAAGTTGTTTGCTCGTTTAACGCGTCTATAAATAGGCGCCCTGATAGCGACGACAATCGTTGGGCCGCCAACGCTTCTCGCGTCAGCACTCAAGGGGCAACGTGGCGTATACGTAATGGCATGATATGAGCCCCAAAGGCGAGGAGTGACGATGGTGTGTGTGTGTTTATGTTTTGTCATTCTCTCTGCAAGTGGGTCACGCGGGAGAGGCGAGGAGAGTAGGAGCCTTGATCCACATTGCTCTTATGGGTTGCCCCCCCATTGAATCATTGAATAGTGTTCAGGTTCTTGCTTCCGCTAACCTCCAGCTGAGAATGGGAAATGGGCTGTAATGAGTGTCTTATGATGCATGGAATACGTGTACTTCCAGCTTATAGATCTCTTAAATTCCGATTTAAGATTTAGCTCTGGCCTCATTTTTGAGGGGCTCTCCGGGGCTTGTCTTTCATTCAAAGCCGAGTCGAAATTAAACAGAATAGGAAACAGATTAAGTCAGCTCTGTATTCCCAGTAGCTTTAGCTTGCACAAATATATATCCGATTCATTGCTCTGTTACTCCTCCTAAATTCCTCGTAGATTTTCCTGTCTTCCATTTTAATGTGCAGGAGCTTCCCATCGGTGCCCACAGTACCAGGCACCTTTTAGTCGGGGTACTTTGCCACAGTCTTCTTTCTGCTTTTACGCTTTTCTTTTGCAGTCTTCCCAATGTTTGTGATTAGGCCCCAAAGAGACCCATTCCCATTCGCATTCGCATTCTCTGTCACATTAATCATGGCAACATTTGCCATGCAATTAAGCAAATGAAGCCTGCATTTAAGTGCTGACAATGATGATGATGATGAGGGGGCTTTGACTCAGCCTCAGCCTCAGACTCGACTCGGTCTTGGGGATGGAGATGGGGATGGGGATGAGGGCCAGGGACTTGTCGACTGGGTGTTTGGACAGTGAAAATCTTGACGAAATCATTAGGCTAATGTGGTTAGTCGAACATCGATAAGTGAGTGTGCCCCCAGCAGGCGCTTAATGCGCATTTAATACCCCTTTGAGTCATTTGAAATTCAATCGAGTTGCCTGCCCCCCATCCCCCATGCACCTCGCAGAACAAAGAACACGCAGCGCATTCGATTTCAATTCAATTCAATTCGAGCCGAGTTGAGTTGAGTTGAGGCGACACTCATTTCTGGCAATTCATCAAACCCGAATCACAATTGAAATGCAATTTTCTGATTTTGTGATGTGGCAAATTAAAAAAAACGGCAGTCGCATATCACAATATATCGGACAGACCAGACAGCAAAAAACCCATTGACGCAGACCGCAATTCAATCAGTCAACGTCGTCGTGGCCTTTTTCGTCAGTCTTATTGGCCATACACTTAAATGGCCAACGAATCCCAGACCCCGACCAGCCGACCAGCCGGCCAGCTGCCCGTTTTCAGATTTCAGGCAGCCCAAGACAGCGCAAACGTCGAACGTATTCCGCCATAATTAAATTATAAATATTACAACAATTTGTTGCTTTCTTTGCGCAACAAACAAACAGTTCATTTAAGTATTTTGAGCACAAGCCACAAGCGCACACAAGTGCGATGGAGGTTGGGGAGGGGGGGTCGGAAGAATTGCGCATACGCCACGTTGCATGGCCAAATGAAATCGCACTGAAAGCCAAACGAAATTGCATTGAAAGTGAACAAATGAGTTTGGTTTATGGGCACACAACGAATGTGGCATGCACTTAAGTGCAGGATTTCCGCTTCAAAATACTGGAATAGATTTAAGGAAGTCAGAAAGATATGCCACTTGCATCTGAACCCATTTACGAATCAAACTAAAGACATGTAACATCCATAAAACCCCAGCCGAAACCCTTCTCCAAGGGATATATCGTACAAAGGGCGTAAATTCGCGTATGTCATGCGAAACGGCATTTGGTGAATGTAATTTCTCGTGCTCGCTTTTCCGGCTGCCTGCCCCTTAACCCGTGGCTACCAATCAACCTTAATCCCACACACAGCCACACAACCATCCCCCCCCTGTCTGGGGGTCGCCAATCACGTGTCGCAAACATGATTTATTTCGTCAATTTATGCCAAAAGTGTAAAACGATTTTCTGCCGTGCCAAATGAAATATTATGACGTGCACTATCATTTACATGTGTTTCACAGCCTCCCACTTTTCGGTGTGTGTGTGTGTGTGTGTGTGTGTGTGGGCGTGGCATTGCGTTTAGGAATGCGACAGTTGACTGACTGACTGAAGCCATCTCCTTCACTCAGTGTGTGGCCCTCTCCTTCTAACGCACTCTGGCTGTCTCTGTCGCTCTGCCTGTTGGACTGTGTTGGCATTTTGCAATTTAGCAAAAAGGGAAATTACATTTAAATTGAATTGTAAACCGAATAAATTGTTGGATGTTGCAGAGGTGTTGGGGGATGGTTTTTCGATGTATGGCATGGCTGACAGGGGTGTTAAAATTGTGTATATGTGTGTGTGTGTGCTGTGTATTCTGTGAATTTACGATTGGCATTCGAGTATTTCTGCGGGTGCTCTTCTGAATAATTTAGCATTTGAAAGTTATCAGTCACCATGAGGACTTTTTCCCAAAGTGGAAATAGCAGAAAGAGCAAGGGATATGCACAGTACGTAGAGAGATAGAGCGAGATGAGCGATAAAGTCAATTAGCAAATGCTAAGGGAACTTTATCAATTTCCTATGGGATGCCTTCTGCCATGAGTCGTTCATTTAGTCTCCTTTCCGTCCGTATTCGATGGGGAAAACGTTGCAGCTTTAAATGTATTTTTGATTTAACATTGTTTATTGTATTTGGCAACAAATGCAAATGTATTTATCATGGCCGACGCACACACAAAGTGTCTGCAGAATAAAATGAAAATTTTAATTTATTTAGCATATGGAAGTATTTCCACAAAGCCGACAGAAAAACCCAAAGCACACACACAAAATTAGCCCGTATTTATACGTGAACGAATACGAGTACGAGTATTTCAACGGCAGTTATGGCCTGGCATGGCATGGGATTGGATGCTACGCAAAGAGGTTAAATAAAACAATTCTATTTAATCTGGCGGATATATGCATATATCCCACATAAGAGGTTGGGTAAACATATAGAGCTTGGTAATGCCCGTAGAAATACGCAATGGATTGCCAAACCGCAAAATGCCAACTAATTTAATTAATGGGAAACAAATGCGTGACCAGAATTGGAACCCCCATAACATACCATATCCAATCACTCTCTTCGAATTCGAATTCGAATACGAATATCTGTATCTCCGTCTGCGGAGAGTCAATTAATGTTGTCCAAGTGGCTGCTGATTTAAGTGCAATTAAAGTGCAAATTCTCAAATATTTTTTCTGCTGATACGACTGGCAAGTCGTCCGTCTTGCCAGTTCCATGCGATATGCAAATTAAGCAAATGCCAGCTAAGCGCAATGCTAGTCGCATACGTATGTATCTGTATCTGTATCTATGGCCAAGTACGAGTACAGATAGCCCGTATCCATAAGATACCAGAAACCAGACAGCGGCAGCAGCTACAACTTTTATCGCATGTGCATTTTCTTAGCCCACGACGCCAACGACGATAAATGCAAATCTTGACAGTTTTCTTTAAAAGATTTTTATTTATTTTCGGTTGCAGTTGCAGTTGCATTTGCGTTTCGTTTCGTTTCTTTTCGTTTCTTTTAGTTTCTTCTCTTTTCAATTTCGCTTCGTGGACGAACAAAGTTTCTTGGCTTTAGTTTTCATTGTCTGGCGGGGTCTGAGGGTCGGTGGGGCCACTGGGAAAGCACGTTTCGTGCTCGCATATCCGCCGTGGTGCGCCAGTAGTGGCACTTCCAGCAGAAAGATACAAATGTATCCCACACACAAATGTGCCATCTGCCCCGCCATACCACCCACCCCAGCGCCCACCCTCACTGGCAGTCATAGATTGTCGCATCGACTGCGGCGACAACACCATTCGCTTCATACTTGTCCAAATACTTTGAATCCAGTCTCGCGCTGGCTTCAAGGCCTCGAAGATTTTTCATAAGGAGCAACATGTCTATGGTACAATGCGGGTTTGCGAAAGATAAACTTATTTCCCAATTGGATATCTGATGTAGTAATCGATTAAGTTCGTTATCTACCTCAGACAGTTTTCGATTTTTCTGTCAATAATGTTTAAGTAATTATCAAAAATATATTATCAAGATACTCGTAGTTATCGATTCGAATCAATTGTGGGGGCCAAACAGTTAAAGGTTTCGTTGCTTATCTTTTACTTGGAAATTAAATATGCCGCATACTTTTACAACCCACTGTATACCAGCTCTCCCTGACTAGTAATACTTTATTTCATTGTAAAGATCCAAAGTTCTCCATTCATCCGTTGACCGCATTTCCGGTGAATAAACGCACCCATTCAGAACTTCCCACACTGAGTGAATGTCCGGCTAGAGAACTACTCATCTGCATTACAAATAAGTAGCGACTATTATTTATTTATTCATTTATTAATCCATCAGATCCATTTCGCGGACGATTACAGCTTCCGTTTGGGATCGGGATCGGGTTGGCCAGCCCCTGCCAAGGGCAGAAATGGTGTTCGAATAATTGCGCTTTTCCGCCCTGGGCCTGTATGCTTTACCATACCATACCATACACAATGCCAATCGCAATCCAAATCTCAATATCGATTGGTATTTACCTGCTCATACATAATTCATGCCGATGGGTGGGTCGTTTAATAT